TACACTAAATTCTTCCAAGATGTATCAACTGGAGTATGAGGTCATTCCTTACGTGTATGCATTGTAAAAATAATACGTAGTAAACTCTAGATTGAATTGCTCATATTGTATTTAGTATTCTTTTATTCTTTACTTATTTTGTCAGCATAATACACACAAAGTCTTCCATAACAAGTTCACTTTTGTCGTTTTTATCGTGTTTAATTGACTTATCGTATCTGTATTTGTATTAATGTACATTAAACCCTTAATTAATACTTCTTACCCGAAATAGGACTAAAAAGTTTGAAAATTCCAAAATAGGACTGACATGTTTTTTTTCTCAAAATATGACTAATTACTGACATGTTTTGGCAGTACCAGCCTTCAAAAATGACAGTATTTTCTAAACATGAAAGTAATTAGTCTTATTTTGGGAATAAAAACATGATAGTCCTATTTTGAAATTTTGAAATTGTTTTAGTCCTATTTCGGGAACTTTCCCATTATTTAATCATGGTTATTTTAATTTTACTTTTGCTTTCAAGATGTTGAATTATTGAGATAAAATTCAGAGTATTCTTCACGCGAGAGGACATAGGCGAGCCTAAAGGGGCAGCAGGGTGGGGGCCCTAGGCCCATCAAAAAATACAAAAATAGGCCCACTATGTGGAGAGCATTTTTGTTCACCCACTCCTTGAAAATCACCCCTTTACTTCATTTGTTATCATGTGGCATTTCATTTTCTTTTTTTCTTTAAATTATAATAACTTTTTTATTTATTGTCAAATTTTTATAAAAAAATATATCAGATTTAATAAATTTTTTATGGTCTTTCCAATGGTATCAATATTGTACATAAAAAAATTGAAAAAAATAATCATTTTTTTCTAAATATTCATTTTAGCTAGATTTTTTTATATGCAATATTGGTACCATATGAAAGATCATAAAAAAATAAAGAATTCATCGCAAATAATAATATATGAGAATATCGAGTACAATCTCTAAATATTAATCCTCTGATTCTTCAGTTGCAATTTGAAATAATTACAATTAAAGAATTTAATTCAAAATTAAATCTTTAATCCTTCAAAAATGTGAACGTTCTTCGGATCTTCGAATCATCGATCTTGAGATCTTCGAATCTTCGAATCTTCGTTTTTTGGATCTTCAAATCTTCTTGAATGAAGAATTCAGCTTGAAGGGCCTCCGGTTTTCAAGTAGCTTGATCGTCAACTAAAAGGCCGTTTTGTGGTTTGATCTTCTGTTAAAGGGCTTCCCAGGATATATGGATTGATCTTTAATTGAATTCCGATTCAATCTTCATATGAATATCTTCAAATCTTTAAAGATTCGCTCTTCCTATCTTCGAATCTTCAAAGTCTTGTTTTTCAGATCTTCAAATCTTCAAACTTCGTTCTTCAGATCGTCGAACGTTCTTCAACTTTTGAACTTATTTTATCAAGAATCGACGAAATCATGAAGGATTATTCGTATCTTCTTAATAAAATTTGTGGCTTGATCTCTTCCTCTTCTTCAGAATTGTTCAGAGCCTCTCGGAAGTTCTTCAGAGCTTTTCTGCAGCGGTTCTTCTACCGGAAGTTCTCCTCTACGAACTTGCTTTGAATTTTGAGTGGAGATCTTAACAAATGCAACCTTCACCACCATCGCTTCTTTCTTTTCAAACTTGGAAAAGGACTCGTCCCTATTCTTGGTATCTTGCTTTTCAACAACTTCATTGATGGGATATATACCCACGATTTTCCTTCTACTGCTCGTAATGTTCAACTCCATGTTACGAGCTTTGTTTGCTAACTCATAGAAAGTGTTTGGATTGACTCCTTTCAGAATGTAGCACAATTCCCAATGCATTCCTTCAATGCACATATCGATAGCGGAGCTTGTATAGATTCGATCTTTGCAATTTAGAAAAAGATCCCTCCAACGCTCTATGTAAGCTATCACAGGCTCATTTTTCCATTGGCGAGTAGTTGTCAGCTCAAGCAAGCTCATCATCCTCGTTGTGCTGTAGAAACGGTTTAGGAACTCATGTTCCATATTTTGCTAGCTGTCAATGGAACCGAGCTCCCGGTCAGTATACCAGTCAAATGCGTTTGCTTTCAGGGAACACACGAATTGTTTGACAAGATGATATTCGCTTGTTCCCGCATTATTGCAAGTCTCCACAAAAAGGGCGACATGTTGTCTATGATTTCCCTTCCCATCAAACTGGATGAATTTCGGCGGCTGGTAACCAATGGGCATTTTTAGATCCTCGATCCTTTGAGTGTATGGCTTAACATAGGAGTAAGTAGATTGACTTCCTTTTATCCTCCCCTTTACGGTTCCCATGATGAAATCTTTGAGTTGATCAATCGGGATCATGTCCCCGGAGGTTGAGATATTCTTCTCCGAATTCTCTTGGTGAAAATCATTATTTTCATGCACTTCAAGATCCTTCTCATGAGCATGACTTGACTCGCCTTTTAAGCTTTCTACTTTGTTGTTCAACTTATTCAACTTTTGATCTTGAGCTTACATGAAAGTAGTCATCCCCTCGATGACCTTAGCTAAATGGGCGATTTGTTCTTTCATAGACGTGGTAGTTGTCGTCATAGTGGGCATCACAGTGTAGACATTTGACCACTGCGGAGTAGTTCTTCGTGGTAGAGCTGACGGGGGAGTAGAATCTGACCCAGGCCAGATGATGAGCTCTCACCACTGCTTGTCCACTTCGGGGAAGTAAATTCACGTATGGGTGAAAAAAACTTCGGGTGTAGTTCCCGAAGATGACTGCGTAGACATGATTCTTGATCGGTTGCTAGTGATAGGGCCTTGCATGTTTTGATTCGAGCTTGACGACGCTCTAGAATTCAAAGTGAACACAGGCTTGCTTGACGCCATTGGTTTGTTTCCCTTGATCAAGTGAAGAGATGAGAGGTAGGAGTGTCCCACCGGGCGTGCCAAAAATTTGTGAAACAAATTTTGGGTATTTACTTAAAATTGATCGCAAATAATAATATATGAGAATATCGGGTACAATCTCTAATATGAATCCTTTGATTCTTCACTTGTAATTTGAAATAAATATAACTAAATAATTTAATTAAAAAATAAATCTTTAATCCTTCAAAAATTCGAACGTTCTTCGGATCTTCGAATCATCGATCTTGAGATCTTCGAATCTTTGAATCTTCGAATATTTGTTCTTCGGATCTTCAAATCTTCTTGAATGAAGAATTCAGCTTGAAGAGCCCTTGGTTTTCAAGTGGCTCGATCTTTAATAAAGGGCTGTTTTGTGGCTTGATCTTCTGTTAAAGGGCTTCCCAGGATATATGACTTGATCTCAATTGAATTTTGATTCAATCTTCATATGAATATCTTCAAATCTTCAAAGATTCGTTCTTCATATCTTCGGATCTTCAAAGTCTTGTTCTTCAGATCTTCGAATCTCCAAGCTTCATTCTTCAGATCTTCGAACGTTCTTCAACTTTTGGACTTATTTTATTAAGAATGTACGAATAATCTTTCATGATTTTTTTGATTCTTGATAAAATAAGTCCAAAAGTTGAAGAACGTTTGAAAATCTAAAGAACGAAGCTTAAAGATTCGAAGATCTGAAGAAAAACACTTTGAAGATTTGAAGATATGAAGAACGAATCTTTGAAGATTTGAAGATATTCATATGAAGATTGAATCGAAATTCAATTGAAGATCAAGTCATATATCCCGGCAGCCCTTTAACAGAAGATCAAGCCGCAAAATGGCTCTTTTGTTGAAGATCAAGCTACTTGAAAACCGGAGTCCCTTCAAGCTGAATTCTTCATTCAAGAAGATTTGAAGAACCGAAGAAAGAAGATTTGTTTCTATCGATGTGGGGAGTTGTTTTGTTGTCCCTATTAGCTTCGTCTGGTCAGAGGTTTCTGTATGTCTTCTTTTAGAGTGCATCAACATTGGCAGAGCTCGTCCTCTTCCAGACCCACCTCCATTAGCGATACTTGTTTTATTTAAATTCGAGCAGTTTTGTTTGAAATTTTGGACCTCTAGAGTACGTTTGATAGACATTATTTCAGGTTCAATTGTTTTAGACTTTTAGTTGTCCATTTCGTATCTACCGAATCAGGTTGTTTCATGTGAGGTGACTGATTCTATATCTATTCCTAGGACTCACAATTGAATTTGTCATCATAACTGTATTGATGTTATGTTGTATTTTTCTCGATTTTAATGTAAATGCAATCTTTTATATTCAAAAAAACGGTCTCTAAAATATTATTACGGAGTAATAGTTTAGATAATCAACCAATTCTAAAGTGATCAAATTAACGTTATATATAGTCTTCCTTTAAGAAAACGTAATATACTGACAAGACCGACTTACAATGAATGGATTCACGTCGAAGGAAACCAAATTGGAAGCAAATAATCAATGGATTAAATAGATTTTAGTCTCTTTTTTACCGACTTGATCAAATCAATTCATATCATATGGGATCAGATTTTGACAGAATTAGAAACGCAAAGACTATCATTTGTCAGACTAATCCAAACCAAGTCAGATTAGCCCAGATCAAATCGGATAAGACTAAATTAGACCATAACATTTCAGTTCAAGTAAAATCATTTTGAGCCCGTTTGGTGACCCATTTTTTCGGTTTATCAGGCTTATTAGCTATTTTTTTCACCAAACACGTAATTTTTTATTTTGCGTGCTGAAGTTTGTAATAAGCAGAAAAAGTAAGGTTGAAGTTACTTTTCTGGCTGTTTTGATTGAAGTTTTTGTAGAGAATCATTTTAGCTATTTTTTCATATATTTTTTTATTTAATTTATTGATAACAAACAAATATTTTAAATATAATTTTCATGAATCAGCAGAATCAATCAATACAGTCACTTCAACCAGAACATCATAAATTTCAGCAGAATCAGCCAATTCAGACAATTTTAGTGTTACCAAATGAGCTCTTTACTTCTTTAGCTTCCACAGAATGAAAAGAGAGATAATAATAATAAGTAGTAATTCTCTCATTTATTAATGCGTGTTTTAGATGTTTTTTTGGCAGGATAAAACCGAAAAAGCGTAAAAAACAACTAGCATAGCATCTAGGTAGGGTAATTAAAATCTAATAAAGACCACAGATAATGTTGGTTCCTTCTTTCCAAAAATATTGACTAAGCTCAGATCTTCTCAGCAGATCGCAGACGAAAAACAAACCCTTATCGATCGGCTTTCAGGGCTGGAGAAAGTGCCGGCCGGCCGGCCGGCCGTCTATCATATCATTGACTCTTCTATGGAGAGTCTGAAAGATCGTTCTGTGGCATAATTCCACAAGAGGTCAGTGAATATGGCGACCCCTCTGATCTCCTCTCCAAGTACGGCTGCATTTCCAAATAAATAAGTAATTAACTGATGTTACGTTAATAACAACAACAAACACTCCATAACAAAAGAACGAGTAAATACGTTTTGAAATTTTAAAACAAGGATGTTTTTACTTCGATTTATTTCAATTCCAGACCAAATCAGATCAAAATTAAACAGACCATGTCAGATTTTGATAGTTATAAAGTACACATAGATCATACATCTACCACACCGGACCGGTTCTGACCAAACCTGAGTACCTGATTAGACTTAATTAAACAGACCAGAACAGACTTGAAAATTTCAATTCAATTATAAACATTATTCATAACGTAGGAGTAATTACTGACAAGAAAGAAAACTAAGATAATGACATGTTTAAAATCTAATAATATCAAAGCATGTATTGATGTATTGAACAATGATTTGAACTATGATTTGATTAATAACAATTAATATTACTCTTTCCAAAAAAATAATGTCAAAGCATGTATTTTTTGAGAATAAAAACATAGTCGTCAAATTTTGGGTTTCACGAACGTTCGTACTCCTAGTTAGGATAATTTCTTAGAATAATTAAAGGATTTGAGAGCTGGTTTGAAATTCACTTGAAGTGAAAATTTCCAACATGTCTAGTGTGATATCATGTGTATTTTATCATGATCTTCATCCCATTAACATTAGGACATTAAGGAGTGCATGTTGAGATTATTAAGAAAATTGAGTTTGTGTGGTTGATATTAAATTGATAAGTAAGAATAAATTAAGAAGGATTTAGAACATATATAATCATACAAACTTTACCAAATTTAGTATAAGATAATCTTAATAAGAGTGACTAAAAAGGAAAGTTGGACAATTTTAGCAGAACAGATGGAGTATTATCTAAAATTCTGAATGACTGAATCTAATTTGAATTGTTCAAATTTGATCTAATATGATATAATTTGATCTGATCTATATATATGATCTAGACTATTTTGGTCGGACTTGTTTGAATTGGTTCAAATCGAAATAAATACAAGTGTAAACACCCTCGGTGATATCTAAAATAATTAATTTAAAAAATTGTTAAAACTGTCAGAGAAATTTTCAAAAGTGGGATCGCAGTAAAAAGAATGTAGAATTTGAAAATAATAGGACTAGGTTTTTGCACACAACATGAATAGTTCTTTATTATACGGAAATCATATTGTCATATTTTGGAATTATCATAAATTAATGTGATGATATTAATTTCATATTTGACAGTAGTTTCTAATATTAATAATTATCCTTATTTAGGAAAAATAATACTCCGTATATAGTTTTGTTAAATTCCACATTAGTTTTAATCGTATCTAGACAAATTTTGAAATTGTGATTGAAATGTCTGCTTAATTCTAAGTATACATTGACATTCTGATAATTAAATATGGTGCATTTTCCCCATGGTTTGTGAATATTTGAATATGTTTAATGCTTGTGCTAAAAGCAAGACTGAAATATATCTTTAAACAAATGGGTAGTTTGTGCCCAACCCGCTGCTAATAGCCGCGTTTTCCTTTGCCAAAAAACGGCTTTTTGCTCCACCCGCTAATATCTAAATAACCCCAAAATGTTGTAAAATCTATTTTAACAACATATAAAAGGTGTTGTCTTTGTCCTACCAAAAGGCACCACTTTTCCTTTTTTTAATTTAAATTATCACACACCAAAATACGGTTTATGTGAATACTACCACTTTTCCGTATTATTTAATTTCTCCCCTTTATATAATCTTGACTAATGAAATCCACTGCTCATAAATCATAATAATTGTATCAAAGTTAAAAGGAAACCCCACATAATATAAGACTGGTAACATAATAATTACCCCTTCGGTCCTTTTAAAATTTCCTCTTTTGACTAATTAGCACGTTTTTAATGGAGCAAATCGCTAATCAATTAAAACATCAAAACGCTGCAAAATGCAGCGATTTGCTACCCATCCGCTAAAAAACAAACGAAGCCATGATGTGGCTAAATCATTAATAGTGATATGTAGGATATATGATAATAAGGGTAATAAAGTACAATAATACTTTTTACGACTAAAGAAAATAAATTAAAACATTTTTACCAATAAATAAATAAATTAATTAAAACATGGATGATTAACTAAAGGAAAATATAAGCTATAATATTCCTCCATGAAAAAACAGACATTTTTAAATACTAAACCGTATGAAAATAAGAAAAATTCTAAAGGTACACACTTCTTTGTGTACACACTTTTTACACATGTCTGTGTAAGGTTTTTTTTATGTCTGTACAGACATAATGTATTTTTAAAATACCTTATGTCTGTACAGACATAAAAAAAAACTTATAAAGACATGTGTAAAAAGTGTGTACACAAAAAGTGTGTACCCCAAGTCCAACTCTGAAAATAATATGTAGTCCTTCATATATATTTACAAAAATATGACTAAAGTTACTACTAGTGTTGTAGTCACTCAAGCGTAAAAATTGAACATTGATTACTATGACTAAACTTATTATACTCTGTATATTATAATCAACACATTTAAAAAATTACGTTTTTGCAAACAACATACCTTTATTTTAGTCATAAATATATAATTGTTTCAAACAATTTTTTGATTACAAAATAATTTTCAAGTAAAATAAACTATGCATAATCTATAATAATCCGATCAAACAATAATAACGTGCTTTGATTAATAAATTGTAACCAACATTTTGAGCAATGAATGATGGCACTGCGGGATATAGCAGTAAAATGAGATAATCCGTAGTAAAAAGAATATATAGTCTCACCATCTTTAAAAACTAATGACAAAAAACAATACGATGTACTACATATTTTGTGTTCCATTTATTTTTTATTTCGGAAACTCTATGAAAATTTTAATAATTTTTTTCCTAATTTCAACTGAGGCAATAAAAAGCCTAAGAGAAAAAATCGCAAATGACATAAATACATACCACAATTCTTTAATTTTTATTTCAGGAACTCCATAAAACACATTTTTATTTTTTATTAGGACTTCATATATAAGCTAAGTCTTGTTCGGAGATCAGTAAAATATTATTAATCTTATTTTTAAAGTTTGTGTATCTGATCTTGTAGAACAATTTTGAACAATTTCAATAGATTTAGTTGATTTTCTGATAAAAATGCTTAACAAATAAACCATTTTTTTTGTGAAAGGAAATAAACCAATTTAAAAAGCATTATAAATTCGTTTAAAAGGAGCTTGCTAATTACCTGAATAATGATCGAAGCGACTGATGATAATTATATTATTATTAGTCGTTAACGTCAACTCTAAGGCAGCCAACCCGCTTAGCCACCAGGTCCCACAGCCGGGACCTAACTCCCCGCCGCTTCGGTCGGTCGCCGCCGTTCGCAACCGCTCCCTCATCAGCAACGGTCGCCGGCAAGACCTTCTTCGGTGAGAGACGGCGGCGCTGCCTCTCCTTGATGGCAACAAGATCCATCTCCGGCTTAAACCTCACCGGCCCGAACATGAACATCCGCCGCCTCGACGCCGACGACATGGACGTCAGAGAGCTAATGTTCACCTTCCGTGACGCCGAAGCGACCCGCTCCGAACCCGACCCGGATTCTCTTTTGCCGCTAAAAGAGTGTGACCGGAAGTAGTCCCATCTCTGGGTCCCGTTTATCTCGACGGCGGAATCGCTCATGCGGTGTTTCTCAAGGGGGATATCGGAGAAGAAGTAGAAAATCTCCTGAGGCGGCGGAGACGGCGGGTCATTGTTGCCCGATTCTTGATTGCGATCATTTTCAACCTCAAGGTATCTGAAGGAAAGAGGAGAGAGAGGAGAGTCGTCGTCGCTATGTTTTTCCAAATCCATCATTCAGGGTTTGTTTTGTGAAAGAATATAGATGCTCTGTTGTTTATATACTTCGTATATACGACACTAGTCAACGTGTCTTCCATCCTACAATTCTCATAAAAAATACTCCGTAATTAGTTGAATGCCATTTACCAATTATATTCACCTCTTATACTTACTTTTATACTCATCTTGTTGTGTAAAGTTTTTTTTTGCAAATTATGCACAGATAAAATAAGACATAATTTATCTGTGTGCAAACAAAATAAGACATATTTTATCTGTGAAACAGATTCAAAGATAAAAAAAAATCATAGACATGATGGATATAATGTGAGTATAAATTAAAGGTGGGTACATCAAGAATAATTGTGCCATTTATGGGTGGGATATTGGGCTAGAAGAATCGAAATGAATCGTTATTTTAAAATACCATTCTTACAAATGATTTATTAATTATTAACTTTTCAATGTTTAATGATTGTTTGGAACTGTTTTTTTCTTTTAAAAAAGTAGTACAATCAGAATCAGTTTTTCAGAAACTGTTATCCTTTGCTTATCAAAAAATGTTTCTAGGAGCAATTTGAAGCAATTAAAAGTACTTTTGCACTTCCACCCAAACACTTAAATATTTGATTATGTTCTCTAATAGAGCAAAAGCAGTGATTAACAGAGGCACTAATTAAGTTTCCCATTTTTCTAATCTCTCACTCCTTGAGGCGAGTGTAGTGAGGTGAAGAGGAGTAGAGATGTGCATGTCTCGTGATGACTCATGTACTGTAGGGGTCGAGGCTTGACACCTTTTGTCCATAGTGAAGAGATGTCTCGTTAAAACCCCCATTAGGAAAAACCCCGTGATAAGAAATCCGAATGAGGAAAAAGGGTACATTAGATGCTCCCTAAATGAAGCAAAATGGGTGAGCCCCTCGGTTGAGGCGTGGAGCTAAAATGAACGCCATCTGTCGAGGGGATGGTCAAGACAGGTCTTCATATATGAGTAGCTTGACATGATATGTAATCCTAGTCGTCAAAAAAAGATGGTTAGGAGATAGGTCGAGCGACCATCTTCAATACGATGTCTGAGTCATCAAATAAAGATGAGACAGATATGTGGCTGAGAGACTTATATGAACTCTAAGTTTTCAAATAAAGAGGATCAAGATGTATGGTCAAGAGGTTGATATAAAACCCACATCATCAAATAAAGATGACTAGGAGATATGGTCGAGTGGCCGATATGAACTCTGTGTCATCAAATAAAGATGACTAGGAGGTATGGCCAATGGGTCGATATGAACTCTACGTCATCAAATAAAGATGACTAAGAGCTATGGCTAGGAGGTATGGACCAGAAGCATGTATGAACTTTGCATCATCAAATAAAGATGACTCAGAGATATGGCAGAGGGACCGATATGAAATCTGGGTTCCTTTAGCTTTTCAGCTAAAGACAACACAATATTTGTAACTGTCCGCCATCTGTAGGGGGTATTGGCTAATACTAGTTTTGCTTAAGATAATGGTCGCCACCCTACAGAGACGGTGGGTGAGCCCGGTAATAAGATCGTGATGTCGGCTCTCAAAGATGGCTGTGACATGAAGATAAAACAATAAAGGGCGCATCGTAAAATGAAGACGGCGGCGCTGAGGAGTAGAGTGGCGAGCCCAATCACTGGTTGAAGACATTCGACATTGAGGAGCCGGTCTTTAGATAGAAAATCACGTTGTGGTTGAGAGGTTAGTCGTGATGTGAGGGCGGCGGCGCTGAGGAGCCAGTCCAAAATATGACGACGAGGTGATAATGAGCCACTTGTCATATGAAGGCGATGGTCGCCATCCAGCAAGGGAATGACGAGCTCAATCACTAGATCAAGACATTTGGCGCTATGGAGCCAGTGTTGAGATAGAAAGTCACACATTATTCGAGGGACCGGTCGTGGTATGAGGATGGCGGTGCTGAGGAACCAGTCCAAAATATGATGACAATGTGATGATGAGCAAGTTGTCATATACGGTGACAGTCACCGTCCGTGAAGAGAGTGGTGAGCCCAGTCACTAGATCAAGACTTTGGTGTTGAGAAGCTGGTCTCTAGATAGATAATCAAGCCGTAGTCGAGGGGGCGATCGTGATGTGAGGATGGTGGTACTGAGGAATTGGTGAAAGTTATGATGATGAGGCTATGATGAGTCGTTCGTCATATAAAAGGGACGGTCACCATCCGTGAAGGGAATGTCGAGCCTGGTCGCTAGCTCAAGACATTCCATGCTGAGGAGCCAGTCTTGAGATAGAAATTCACGCCGTATTCGAGGGACCGATCGTGATATGAGGACGGAGTACACAAGGAAAAATTGCATATCCATGTTGTATTCACTTTACAGAAGCATTCTGGTTATGCCATAGCAAGAAACATAGCTGGTTTGATAATCATAGAAAGTTTCTACTAGATGGTCATCTGTTCGGATAGATAATGATAACTCTACTAAGAAAAACAATCTTTCATGGTCCTGTGTTACACAGAGATGCTTTATCTTGCTATGATGAGGTCCGTGCCTTGATGCACATGATCGAACACGTGACAGTGAGCACAATAAAGTAGATAGAAAAAATATCGAATGGAAGAAACATGGTATATTTTGGGATCGCCCGTGTTGGAAGGGTTTACATATATGACATAATTTTGATGTAATGAACATAGAGAAGACTTTCTTCGAGAATATGTTTCATACAATTTTGGCCCCTATCATTTTACTTATTTTTTCTACTTCCTATAAGTTTATAAGTTTATACCAAGAACAAAGGAACAATATTTCAACTTGAATTCGAATGAATGGATCCTAACTTAAGAAGGAATGTTTCAAGACAATTTGATTCATTCTATAAGTTTTAATCATCTAATTAAAGAGTTATTATCTTTTGGCACCTTTAACAAGGTTAGTAAACGAGATGACATTTCTTGGTGTGCCTGACATGCTCTAATTAGTGTTAGCATTAATTTTGTTTGGGATTAAGCACACCTAATTATCTTTATACAAAATCTTATGGTAATACCTCGAAGAAAGTACTAGGAACATTGTTGATAAATGAAATAAGTATAGCTACGCTTAAAGGTGATTGTCGGAATAACAAACCAGAGCATTTAATCCAAGAGGCATCAGACAGTTCTAGCTGTTCAATGCCATCTCCACCTGATTCTTTACTTGGGAGGAACGTGACTCGTTTTTCAACGCCATTACTTTACCACTCAGCTTCGTCTAACATACTTGGCAGCAACACTACCAAACATATGGCACAAATAAGGCAGTCTCCCCAACAATCTCCCTCACAATATAATCTACCTTAGGGTCATAGTCCAAATATCACATCACTAAATAACCAACAATCAATCATTTCTCAATCCCTGAACCACCACCAATTGAGTCCAACACTCTCTTACCAACAACATCCCTCAACATCAGATATACGTGATGAATCCGGAGAAAATGAAGACATTGAATCCGAGATCATTGATTGGAAAAATACAATATGTACAATCATATAAAGTGGGGAGAAGAGCCGTTAAATTCTTCCATGTTTATATCGGTAACAAAATTTGAAACACTTATTTTTTGTGTAAATGAAATAGTACAAGAAAGTAAGTTAAATATTAACTATTATTTGTGGGCATACATTATTTTTTATGTTATTATACAATCTAGTAAATATTGTCTACTTTAAATGAAGGCCTATCAATGCTTCATCAAAGAAAACAAGTTTAAAGTTTAAAGACATTGTCTCAAAACAAATCAAGTATAATCTACATCCGAATGGTCAGGTCCCTGAAAGAAAAAGATAATTGTATTGTAAATAATTCCATGTTTATTTGTTTTAATTTAAATCATAGTCTTTATTTATTTTAATTCAAATCATTTTTTACATGTGTTTTAAAACTATGTATTTTGGACTTTATATAATGATTTTTACAGCAATTACCACCACATTATAAAACAATACTATATGTACTACATAATTAAGTTTAGATTGAGCTTGTACTTTTTATTCTAAAAACTAATTAATAAAAGAATTCAGTTTGATTCTGATCTGAACGATTATAGAATATTTGGCATATAAGATGTAACGACTTGGAATATTTCTAAATATAAAGATGAAGATATCAAGAAATGGTATAGAAGGTATTTACATATATGTGCTTACTATAATATTATAAGTGATATGAGGTGAGCACAATGAATGATTTTAATTTTTAATTTGTGATTTATTTAATGAAATTGGAATTTAATGTCATATCTTTATTAAAATTTCAAAGAAATGCCGACCTCCAATAGTGAATAACTTCATCTGGGTTGCCGTGGAAGAATTTAGGAGGTGAAAGCAATCTCAAAAGGTATCTGAGTCGGATAAGAAGAATCGTATAACCGTTGGGGATAGGTGCAAGCAATATGGAGGATATAGAGTTGCGGTTGATATGGTTGTGTAAGAGGTTAATTTACTAAATTATTTTGAAACTTTGGGTGATAATGTTCATTTATTTTCTTCATTGGGTGATAGCTTTATACTTTGGAGTGTCATTTTCCTAATAAAGTCAAGTTATTCTTCAATAAAAAGAGTTTAATTTGTAAATAGTTCAAAAATGTCTTAAAGGTTTACAGACCGACACAATTATCAACACTGCTACAAATGAGTCAATCAATGTCACACTAAAATCATTATTCATTAACCTCATCATGATTTTGAATTCCAGAAAATTAGTAAGATCCAACAACATTAAAATCATTAACTTGCTTGGTCAATACAAAAGTCTTCCTAAATCAGATGACAACCAACACTTCAGATTTAGTACTAAGATTATAGGGCAACCTACGTTTGAGTCTAAGCATACTCAAGAAGACGATGAACTAATTTGTATGTCTGCACGGGAAGAGATTTGGTATGGTCAATTTGCTGCTCACACGTAGCTTTTGTTTCGTTGCTTCATTTGGATGATATTTATTATAATAGGTGGATTTTTTTTTTAAAAAAATAATACTT